AAAACGTGATTTTGCGGTTTTGGCGGGAAAACGTGATTTTGCGGTTTTGGCGGGAAACGTGATTTTGCGGGTTTGGCGGGAAAACGTGATTTTGTGGGTTTGGCGGGAAAACGTGATTTTGCGATTTTGGCGGGAAAACTGGATTTTGCGGTTTTGGCGGGAAAACATGATTTTGATGTTTTGGCGGGAAAACGTGATTTTGCAGTTTTGGCGGGAAAACGTGATTTTATGGTCTTGGCGGGAAAACGTAATTTTGCAGTTTTGGCGGGAAAACATGATTTTGCAGTTTTGGCGGAAAAACGTGATTTTGCGGATTTGGCGGGAAAACATAATTTTGCGGTTTTGGTGGGAAAAATGATTTTGCAGTTTTGGCGGGAAAACGTGATGGGTGAGTATAACTGGACAACTTTAATTTGGAGTTAATGAGTTAGTTTTTAATTTTTGATTTTACTTAAAAACTAAATGGTTGAGGGTTGACCCAACCCAATAGACCCATTAACTTGTTAACCCATTAACTTGTTAATCCATTAACGTGTTAACTCATTAACCCATTGGATCAAAATAAACAATTCATTTGAGTTAATGGATCAATTTGGATTGTATCAACCAACGGGTCATATGACCCATTTTGACACCCCTATATATGTTAAGAGGTATGTGTCAGAAGAAGGTGAACTTAGGTTTGGGTTTTGCACTTGGAAACTTGTAAGAGACTCCAAAGACTTGTAGAGTGATGGAGCAATATCCTCTCCTTTATTACACACCAATCTCACATAAAACGCTTTCTCCTTTACTTGAATAACATCCATCTACCACACAAAAATACAGAACTATAATAACTAATACAAATTTGAACATAAGCTGCGACCAAGAACATGTTCTTAGCATACCAGTAGAATCAACCAAATTAAGTTCCTCGGTCCTGGAAGTTCTACCCCCCCCCCCCAAAAAAAAAAACTCAAACTGAACCAAAAATACAACAAACAAAATAGAACCAGATCTCACAAATATCCAATATTCAAACGGTTTTTATTATTCCTTACCTGAAAAACTAAAACTAAACTGAATCCAGATAAGTTGATTAAAATATTTTTTTTCAAAATATATTAAATCATTTAAATTATTCGTTATTTTTTCTTCAAGCAGTCTTAATTACCCTATATTTTATCAAAATAATCTGATCTTTACAATATTTTATCCCAACTACTTAAATTTTTTCAGGAAAAACAGAATCGAATTGAACTTGTTTCTTCTTAGATATTCACCCGATCCGAAATTTGTTACTCGAACCGAAAGGAAAACCGGAAAAGATGAATTTCATAGATATTAGAATGGTTTTTATATCTCTATAACCCCAAAAATATGAAAACCAAAGACTAAATCAAACCAAAAACCGAACAGTAATGGCTATCACTTGATTCCAATTTTCCTATTTTTTTTTCTTGAAATTATTGCTATGCCACTTTAGCAAACAAGGATTTGAATGTTTTTAAGAAGATTGGGTTTAATACCTGATTGATTTTCTTGGAAACATGTGGATTAATACTTCGATAAGTTTGAGGCTTTTTAGCATCTAGTGCAGGTTCTTGGTACCCTGCAGTGGAATTTAAAGAAGCTTCAAGGGCAGCGATATCAGCTTTGAGTTTCTTGGCTTGTGATTGCATTTCTTGAACGAACGACACTGCATCTCCCACAATGGATACTTTATCCATCTAATGCCACAAATTTCAAAAAATACCCTTAATCACTTTCATAAGTCAAAGTTTTGATCTGGAAAATTGATATTTCATCACATTTTACCTTAGTAATGTTAGGAACAAGAGCTCTCATAGCGTAGAGCTTATCCTTCATCCGACTTCTACTTCTTCTCTCGGAGATCAAAGTTTTCGACCGATCCATCTTCTTCTTACGGCTTCCATCATTATTCGTCGTGGTGGCTGAAGAATCATCGCCGTCGTTGTAATCGTCTCCGCCGCCTGCTCTAACAACACTCTCATCCTCGAAGCTACGGAACGATTCAGCCACATTGGAGTCTACGTCAGGCAACTCGTTGAATAGATCATCAACAGGTGTTGGGATAAACTGGTTCTCGTCGATGAAACATAGAATGTTGTGCAAAGGACCACCAAGATCGAAATCGAGATTTTACTGGTGCTCACTGGTTTGATCATCTCCTCGGATGAGAGTTATGAACTGGTCGAAGTTTGGATCGACCAAGAAGTTGTTTAGGTCGAGATTGTTAAGGTTTGTAAGAGCGATGACTCTTCCTTTCATTGTCTTTTTGTGTTTTTTTTTTGTCTGATTCTTGTCCAAATGAAAGAAGAGAAGACTCTTAGAAGTTTCTGACAATGAAAGAGAGACAAAGTGAGTTTATATACATGTTTCTATTTTTATTTAAATCAGGGTAATTAAAATAAAATGCATTGATGTAGACGCTTGAAAATAATCTGTAATCATAATTTAATTGGGATTACTATGCAAATTTGGCTCATAATGTTTTTGCCAAAAAGCAGGATGGTAAAATAATGGATAAATTAGTTTTTTTGTCATTTGTGATGTTTCCAAATTAAATTGGGTAATTTTAAGTCAGGCATGAATATATAACATTCACCCTTCTTCGGTTAGCTTTAAGCTACAACCTACCATATCTAGCAGGAAATGATCGAATGTTTCATAGTGTTTAGTGTTTTATCTAATCTTTTAGTCTTTTGAGTTCGAATAGGCCAGGAGGTAGTTGTAGATACAGATATGAGCTTTCACAGAAGAAAAAACGCCGAGTGGAAAATATAAAAGAATCAATAAACGTAAAGAATGAAACAATCGATCCATGCATGAATCAGGATGATCGATTTTAAAAGAACAATAGCTCTAACTGAAAATTGGATTTTTTTTTTATTTTTTATTGTTTTGGCTCAACATCAACTTTCATTATCCAAATATAGTGAACACGAGATTACAACCACACAAGATTTTAACCCGATGTACAAACGACGTGATCTAGTACCACCTAGAATCACTAAGTTGGATCCTACGCTACCTAATCAAACCGTCGTTGTAACTTTCACCACAGCGAGCCGAATCCACCTCACAACTCGAGATGACCGACTCTTGAACCCTAATATTAGACCACATAAAACGAACATAGTAACAAGCACAAGAAACGAATGACACTAAATTGGTTATACTTTCTAATTCCAAACTGTTGAACTCTAGTGATATACATTCAGTCCGTGTTTCAACAATAGCCTCACCAAGGGTGCGTCCCGATCAAGCCTCATAGCGTCCGGCTATTACTATCCCGCTTCTAAGCCTGAAACCGAACATAGACGTCCGGATTGAAACTCGGACCTTGACGACTTCAACGGACCTCAAACACACTGAATCACAGCTAGCATAGGTTCGGAGACCATACCACCGGAGCTGGGATGTAGATCTCCGCCACATCTCAACCGCAAGAGTCTCTCATCTGGTTGACTACTCCGTCATCAAGACACCTTTCAATGCGTCGACTCTCCGAGAACCGAAAACTCAAGCCTTTGTTCGCTGCTTGTTTCTCCACTCCTCCAGCCGTCTCACCACCGCAGGGAAGGTAGATTTGGGCTTGGGGAAACGTCTCGCCGTGTCATGCGCCGTCGCCGTGACGGTTCCATCAATAAATGATATAAATTAATACACACAGAGAGAAAAAAAAACAAAAAGTAAACGCTCGATCCAATGAGTTGATCAATCCATCCATGTGAACAGATCCATCTTTTGTCTTTTCTTGTAATACATACCAATAAACCTCGTTAAGTTTCTTTATTGTTAACCTTTAGTTGAATAACATTTATTTTGTTGAACAAAAATAAAACAAGTGACTTTCAATAGCTGATCAAATTCTAGTGCATCATTCACAACTTAACCCTGTTAGTTTTATTTTATGTTCATTTCTCTGTCTTGATAATGTCATCGATAATGTCACGCATAACGATGGATTATATGTAATCTTCTTTTTCTTTGAATAAAATTACATTTAATCTTTTCTAAGTTGCTTTCAATTAATGATTTGCTTTTGTCTTATTGCATGACAACTAACTTTGAAATGATAAGCAAGTTGAACTAGTTTTTTTTTAAGATAGAGAAAGGTCGATCACATTGTAGTGGGGTAAATAGCCTTTATAAGGACAAAACTTAGGTTCACCCCCTGTGGTGAACCTTTAAATTTACCCCACCTCTCATGACCAATAAAATTGCCATGTGAGATTAATTAAAAAGGATATTAAAATTTAAAAAAAAAAAGGAAAATAGGTTTAAAAAAAAGGAACAAACGATTATAAAGCCGTCTAACGACGTGATCTGATTTCTTCATCCACCGGCTTTTTCTTCATCCCTTGCAGAGACTCCCAAATAAGAATACAAAAGTTTGTCAAGTTTGAGTCTCCAATTCTGTGTGTTTCAAATTTTGATTTAACTTCCTCTAAACCAAATCAAATTGTTCATCCATGAATTTTATTTCTTCCTGCTACTTGAATATAAGAAGAGTAGCAAGGAGCAAACTACAAAGAAGGAAGAAGAAGAAGAAACTTGAACCGCAAGAAACAAAAGAGTGAAGAAGAAGCATGAATAACAAGGAGAAAGAAAGTAAAAGAAAAAACTTGGGTTGTAACAAGAAAAGTTAGGTTGTGTTGCTGTAAGAGAATTGAAAAATTCTAATAAACAAGTAGTTAGAGAAAATAACAGTGGAGACACACAAAGATTACTCTCTCTCTACAAGAACAAGAGAACAAATGAGGGAGAGTGTGTGCTTCGGTAATAATGAAACACAAGACAAATAAAGTGTGAACCTAAGTTTTGTCCCCTTTATAACCTCACAACACGAAAGTTGTAACATATAACTACAGAAAGAATTGAATTTCCATTGATTCAAGAATGCCTAGCTTAATTCAAAGTTCCGACATTTAGTTCTATCTGTTTTGTTTTTTTTTTGTTTTTAACTTTTTTAAGTCAATTGTAACTTCTTTCTTAATAGTGCTTGTATTAAACTATGTTTCCATTTATGGTATAATATTCATATTTTATCCCAAAAAAACACCTTCATTTTTTGGCTAATAGAAGCTCAAATTATTGAATATGCGCGCAATTAATTGTATGAAGAAAAAAGCAGTGTTATATCATTTAAGAATTAAGATATTTGATACTGATTTTTTTAACTAAAAATTTGGTTAAATTTGGACAATTTCTCGATTTGTACATGTCATCTTTGTGCAGGGGACATGCTAATCTCATATCGTTCCAATTTTATCGGATATCGTTGAAGAGACTATTCAATATTGACTTTGAGTTAACAAATAGATTCATTGACGTAGAAATGATTTTAATAGTTCGCCTTAACCTCTCTCTCTCTCTCAAGATATGAAAAGAAGTTGAATCCGAACAATTTCCTCGACCCGGCGGAGCCACTGCTTGTCAACGTCGAATTTCGCAATCATTGTCCATGTTTCTCTGCTTTATTCCTATCCTCTTTATCTCTCTGTTTTGTTATATAATGCTTTTTGTTTTGATGGCCTATTCACATCTAGATATTCTCTTTAAGCCTCCAGATCGTTGATCGGTAATCACAGAATGGATACTCTCTCCGGGGGATCCAGGAAACCACAACCATATGATTCTTCTCCTCAACAAACCTTCTTCTTTTCTTTCTTCCAATGGGCTTAAGATCTATGAGTTTCAGCGCTTCATTCTCTTCGGTGAAGAATTTCTTGATACAAGTCTCGCTCTGCCATTCCTATCCCCTCCAACCGTAACAACATGTTTCCTCGATAATGACCGAAACCATGATCTGTTTTTCATGGGGTTCCACCCTTATCTATGTGTCCAGTTCCAGTTCCATATCTTTGGCATAGCTCAACATTCTGCTCTCTTTGTGAATCTCTTCCACAACTGTTACCCCGACAAAAGAATTCCTTTCTGCATATGGTTCAGGCGAGACTAATTGTCATGGCATAGTCTTTACTCTTTCTCTAACAAATCTACAAGATGGTCCTGAGTTCTTCAGAATGGCTAGCTTTTGTTGTGTTATGTTCCTTTTCGATTTTCAATTACACTGTTCTCCTTCTCCGACATGACTCAATTTGTTTTATCCATCTGACATTGGGCCTTGAAAGCCTTCTTGACACATTCAAACTTTGTCCCGAATTGGCTGGTATCTTATTTTGAAGACATATCGTTTTTACTTTTGCTTATTGTTGTAGTTTACGATTCGTATCCAAGATACTAGACAGTTTTCTCTTTATGTTTGTACTTGAAAATGTTGAATTTTTAATGAAAATAAACTGTGTTCCAAAAAAAAAAGATTCATTAACTTAGAATGTAGTTTATGATGCTTGATATATTTTAGCTTCTAATTCGACCATGATCCAATAATCCAATTAAAATTGACAACAAACAGGAAATTATATAACATATATAGACTTTTCAGTTAGATTCAGGGTTTAAATTTGTTTAAGATCTGATTCAATTTTGTAAACAATATTATAAGTAGCAAGTGTATAGTATTTAATATTTACACACATATTTATGGATAGTCTCTTAGTGTGAAATGAATCAGAAGAAAAGTTTATCAGCTAATGTCAGTTACTAATTATTAGTTTACTAAGAACAAGAATAAAGTACTCCTTCGGATTTTGGTAATACTAAAACCGATCAGGACGTATTGAAAGTGCCTGTTACTATGTAGTGTCTCTACAGAATAACAAAATGTATTTGTATCAGTATGTATAAATATTATGTTGGTTAAAATGTTTATCGATAATAGTTTTTTGTGAAAATAATCTTTACTCTCTCAGTGTTATTTTAGAGAAATTAAGCCATAGAATCCAAAAAGAACACAAACTTACTAAAATTACCCAAAACCATCCCTTCTCTTCTATTTTTTCTTCATGTTTCTCTCTATCTCTTCTCTTTAAATCAAATTACTTTTTTGGTTGTTTAGCAGACAAACCCTTTATTTTATCTGATTTTTAAGATTTTAATAATTAAGAAAACACAAAAAAACCTTGAAACATCATTTATACAGAAAACAGAGAAATATGTTTTTAAACTGAAACCGCTCCAACGTTGAAATATTAAAAGCTTTTTCATCCTTCAACTCATTTAATCGCTACTAAATTTTAATCACTTAATGCAGAACCCTGTTCAATGCATTTTTGGTTTAGTTTATGTCGTAACAAACTCAAATACATAGAAAATGTTTGGCCGGTGAGAATAATAATTAATTGTTATAAAAAGAAACGAGAGCATATAAAGGTGTCTGATATTTCCAATTATTCCTTTTAGACACAACAACAAAAATTTGGTCAACCAATTCCTTTTAGGTGTCGGATTTGTTAGAGAAATGAGACTTTTTTTCTGTTCAAATAGACAAATCATAGTTTGAGCAAAGTTTTACGAATCTCTAAAATATTATTTGAAAAATCAATTTTTATGTGTCGCGTTCACTTTAGTTTTTCCATCTAAAGATATGTTTCATTCTAAACATCTAAGAGTGTGACTGTATGTCACATATAGTGATATAATTTAAGAGGGAAAGATATTTACTCTAATTTTCGCTCTTATCCATCCAATCATGTGAAAAACACTTACTTTACCATATTGCTAGTAACTGTTCAAAAAGAACAAAAAAGGTTAGTGTTTTTTCCTCTATATTTGTGTTGGAGTAAAACGTTACGCTGGATTCACCTTTTTCTTCTTATATCTACTCCACAATTTTTACTCTCATTCCCTCTCTTTTAGTTTACTCTGAATTACTCTAATTAAACCTCACACACTAAGATTCACTCGAAAACTTTCATAACTTCCAGAGTTTGACTTTAAATCAACATGCAAATTAAACTAGGAAGAAACCAGAATAAAAATCTGATATTTGGAAGATACAATCCGTAATGAAAATAAAAGTTTGTTAGCCGGAAGAACAAATCTTACTTCTATATCACGTCGAAAGAAAAAAGCGGAACATGAATCCAAATAATCGGATGTCAAAAAGTTCTAATCTCACATTTTCTCAGTGAAAGGTATTAAAGAAATAACAAGAAGAGAAAGATGATTCTGAATGATGTGAGCCTAAAATGTTAAATGTTTGTTTTTAAAAAAATGAAACTTAGGTCTAGAAATGATATGGCAAAAAATATGTGGACCTGATTCAATGACTGATAGGGTTTGTTTTATAGGTCTGGGTTAGGCCAGGGTTCCAAATTCTTTTATTTAGTTGCAAAATAAAAAAAAATGCTGAGTTTTATGGGTTTAAATCTGGATTCAGCAAGAAATGCCTACGATAAATGTTATGAAAATAAATTCGATTAAAAACATATCGTGGACTAAACTATGCAGATACGCAAAAACCGTTAGAAAAATGTGGAAACCAATTTTAAGAAGAGATAGGATCATGATAACCTTTCTTTTACAGAAGTCGAGACAATGTCCCCTTGGATATCCCAAATCTCTACCTCCCAAAATGATGCATCATGGATCGATAATGATAATGTCAGTGGTTTAGGGTGGATTCTTAAGGATCAAATTGGGTTCTGAAGTTTTCGGTTTAGGGGTATGTAGAAGGAACCTCTCAGCTTTGCATGCTGAGATGGAATGTTTACTTTGGGCAACCTCATGTATGAGAGACATGAGGTAATTTCAATACGGTTTGAGACATGCTGCTTGGACCTAGTGGACATGACTACAAACCCGGAGGATTGGCCGACTTTCACGACAGAGATTGAAATGTTCCAGAGATTTCAGGAGAATTTTGAGGATGTGAGTTTGTCTCATATTCCTCAGAATAGGAATGGTCGAACGGACGCACTAGCAAAAGAAATAAGGACCAGGCTATACATTTTTCCCATATAGATCAGATCCGGTCAGATGAAGGTACTCCTTAGAAAATCGTTCGTCTGACCACCACTTGATCTAGTTTCGATGGATGGTTGACAAAAAAAAAAAAGAAATAGAAAACAAATGAGTGTTAAACAAAATCTTAACTAAACTCTGAAAGCCTAAAAACGAACTTCCTTAAAATTGTAGTAAATATTTCAAATTACAAAAATATAATACAGTATTGTAACTAAATTCAAGACAAAAATAAAACTTATACTTTACCCCAAAAAACTCATACTCTTATTTGAATTCATCATTTTAAATAGATATATGTTCTATAATTTTCACATATTAATAAAATATATTAAATTTGAATTATAATACAGTACTTTGTATTTAACTATTTATCATTATATTTAACTAATAGAAAATCAATAAATATAATTAATTTTGTTATTTAAAATTTATCATTATTAAAACGTAAAAATATGGATCATTGTGTAAGATATCATCGTCGTCATTTCTTTTACATCAGTTGTATCAAATAGAACTCCTTCCAATTTTGTTTCGTAAGTGAAAGATCCCCAAGACTAATCTGATCCAGTTAATTAACTGACCACCTCTAACATCCCACATACAATTAAAACCTTTTTATAAGAAGAATGATTGTTTTTTTTTTCAAAAAACAAAAATAAGAAGAATGATTGTCTAGATATAGAACAAATGTGTGTGAATGATTATGAAATCTTCACTTCTATGTGAAACAACCTTGTTTTTTTGTTTGATTACAAAATTATCCATTCATTTGCAACACGAGAATGATGACGGTCTAAACAACTTAAATGTTAAGATTTGAGTTTTTGGCGTTGAAGATCTATAAACTGATGAGGACATGCATGTTGTTGACCTTATCCAAGGTGTAATCTGCAATCAACCGGATCTTCGGTCCACTACAAAAGATCTTCGAATCTATCAGAAATAATCCTGTCAAGAACTCAATTGTTCCACATTCTTGGTCCCACAAAGATCCAAGACTAGTCTACACCCAATGCAGACTATGATTAAAACAAAGCATTATTTGATGATTTGTTTCAAACTAACTATTCAGAGCATGGCCCTTAATCAAAAATAAAAATTGGTTATTATATAAACTAGTGAAATTAAAAATAAAGAATCCCATATAGAAAGTTTGAGCTCACAACCTCTATTTGTGTAGGTGAACACATAACCACATAAACTCAATCTAAACTAGAAGCACATGTTTCATGTGCTTAGTGTCAAACACGGCTATGATTCAGAGAATGTAAGGCTTTATCAAAAAAAAAAACTATTCAGAGAATATAACACAACTGGATTATCTTTTCTTCTTTTAGTTCTTTTTTTCTGTCAATAGTTTTGATATTCATTCAAAAATGAAATACAACAGTTCATACATAAGCTGGCGGCTTAACGAGACAACCCCATAAACAAGAGCCCATAGAAAGCGGCAACTAGAACCCACACTGGGGTAACTTACGAAATCAAAGCTTAAAACTAAAACCGCAATTAAAAAAGAAGATCGATTAACTACTACATCGAGCTTAAAACATATCAACTCATCAGACTTTAGAAATAAGCACATGTCAATGATCGGGATTCACCGCTGCTCTCAAACCCCGTCACACGATAAAATCCACTTCTAACACCCACCCTACGACTTATCGCTGCTGCCTATGCACGCCAAACGATAACGTCCAAGAACCTGAGACTTCATAACCCGACAAGAGAGATCGCAAGTCGATCAACACAACCTTCGGATACGGATGCGACGCAATCAATGGCGTCCATTTACTCCTAGCTAGAAGCCCAACCAAAACACCACGAAGCCTTAGCCGTGACTTACCGGACGCATTCGTCGCAAAAGAAACGGACAAGCAATCACTACACTCACCACCTTTGGAAGAAAGTCTGCTAAATCAAATGTCAAACTCCAAACACAAAGACATCAATACTCAGCGGAAACAAATGACCACCAACTTCACTCGCTGTCACTGCTATGACTAAGACAAATCGAAAAACTTGAAAATAGATCTAGCAAAATCAAAACTCTAAAAACCGACTCATCCTCCTTCAGAACCCGCAACATCTCGTAGAACTACCAGAGGAAAGTTTCAGAGCACCAGATCTAGCTCTGCGAGGACATATCTATAAATCCATTGATGAACTGGCCACCTGGGGATCTGACATATCAACGCTACAGAAATAGGGAAGGAGGAGAGCAAATAAAAAGGAGGAAGGGAAAATAGGGATCAAGCCGGCGGAAGAACGAAACCCTTAGAGTCGCTTAACTTATCACTTGGGCTTTTTTTTTTTCTTTTTCTTCTATTAGTTCATATTCAAGAGAAGTTCCATAAGCTTCAAATATTGAATACTTTCTACATTTGTAGCAGAATATTTAGAAAAAAAATTAAAATTCCAATTATACATTTTGTCATATTTCATTTTTTCTTTTTTGAACTTGCCATATTTCAAATTTTCACCCCCAAAGATGTGATATGAGACCATCCACATCATTTAGACTATAATTTTAGATTGTGGAACAAAATCACTTTTGCTAGGACCATCCACATCTTTAGAAAAACAAAACTGGATAAGTGATGTTAATATCATTAAAGTGGTGTGGCAGATACTACTCATCAGATAACTGCAACTTTCCAGTTACATTTTGAAAACCGAAATGGCATTGGAACTACTGAAAAAACAAACCTAAAAAATGACCATACCATCAGTAACAGTGGTCCATCATCTCATCTCACATCACATCAAAACATTAAATACCCTTTTGCCTCCAGATTCCGTTTCTCTCAAATTTTACTTACATCTTTACACTGCCCAATGGCCAAACATTAAGTGCTCTCTGATCTCTGTAGGCTTTTTATGAAACTTTTTCTCATACCACCTTTCCAGATTTACAATCAAATGGAGAATGTTCCCGCCACAAAAACAAAACAAAACTAAACAAAAAAGGGTTATCTTCCATTTCAACTGTTTTTTCAAAACCTGCCTTAGAAACTTGGTTAGAGCTTCTCATGAACTGCTTGGAGGCACTTTAGATTCGATTATCACCCGCGCTCCTGAAGCAAGTCTGTTCAAGATACACAAAGATTTCATCAATCAATCATATTCTATAATGAATCAAGAGAATTATGAGATGTTCCTATCAACAGTTGGCACAAGAGCCTTAAAATGAGACATCAAGATGTTTATGTTTTACCTTTCCTCAATCTTGATCACCTTCTCCGCATCATCTTGGAAAGACTCAGGCTTTCTCAAAGACTCAGTTGTTCTTTTACTGCAAACATCAAGCTTCTTAGAGGGACTGTGAGTGCTCTTGGTAGTATTTTTTGATGAGTCTCTTGCCTTTTCTGAGACAGGAGATCTCATGGACTGGCTACGTGGTTGTTGCTTGCTATTCACAGATGAAGAAGCCTTCCTTGAGCGTGGAATGTGTTTTGAACAGCCAGACTTTGAATCTCCATTCTCTGCTACACCCATTTGGTTGGAAGCCCTGAAAAACTCATTATGTGTTTTACTACTCAAATTATAATCCCAAATAGCAACAAAATGTGGCATACAATTTAAAGTAACCATTACAGTAAAAAGTTCAAGGCAGAGATTCTAATACAAGCTGCTATTCTGGCTCTAGTGCTTCTCTCTTTGGTTCTAAGAGGAGCTTTTAGAAAACAAGAAGTGTCTTAACATCAAAACATAAGCAAGCAATCACTTTGTCAGAAGTCTACCTGTCACCATTGTAGGATGAAGAACGCTTAAGCGAAGCATTACCATCCACTACATCTTTCTTCTGTAGCTTGGTCTCAACCAAGCTCCCACTAAAATACTCTTTATCCTCTAGCCTCAAGCTCATCAGACTCGGTGTTTCAGACAAACGGTCAACATCTCCCATCATAAACGATGAGGAAGAGAAGAAAGGTGAAGCAAACTTTGAGTGGCTAAACTTGGGTTTGTAAGTTGGCACTAGTCCGAACTTGTTATCCTTGACTGATATTGAACCACATGATATCAACTGCATCAGCATATTTGAGGCCCTAAGCCTCGGCATTCGAACATCTTCTTGTTCAAGTATCCTAAAACTATTCATCTTAGTAACATCAGCTCTTATTAGAGACTCCAATGTATCAGTCTTTGCGGTAAGCGAAGAGGCACTGTTGGAAACTGGAGGAGAGACAGAGTTTCTTGATATTTCCGCACTCTCTATCTCCTTCCCTTCACAGAGATTGTTTTCGCTTGATTCAGGTTCTGATGAGCCATCATCATCTGTTGAAACGCCTCTACTGAAGGTCTCAAGAGGTGTTTTAGAACAAGTGTTGACAGTATCATCGGTTTGTGTAGAAGCATCAGCGAGTCCCTCGCTCTTATACACTTTGTACTCAGCTAAACACCAAGAAGAGGAGTTCTTGGCGTCTCTAGAATCAGGAGAGGAAACAGAACGAAGAGCTGGAGGAGAAAGCTCATCATCTTCTTGGGAATTCTTATTAGTCCCTTTCCCATTATTCATACTTGAAGAAGAAGATGAATCATCCATGCTTGTAGATGATGGTGGCTCCACAACTATCTGCTTCATGTTTTGGGTTGCTGAATTTGCAATGGGGCTAAAGTGATCTGGAGTGGACTCATCAATTATCTCAGAGCCTTTAAGAACATACTCATTCCCATGAGCAGGTAGAATCAAATCATCTTCTGATAAATCATGCCAGACAAAACCATTTCTATAGCTTCTGCAGGTAACAAATCAAGAAACATTGAAATTTAAAACCCTTCTTGCTTTCTTGAAATGTCAAAAAGAAAGTTAATAAATACCTTTTACTAGACCAAGAGTACATTGAAGCCATGCCTCTACCTCTAAGAACATTAAGTCTCTCTGTAACATCTGCCAGAAACAAAATATTCTTGAAAATTCATAAAATCTTGAATTGTGAAAAAGCATTGAGTACCTCTAAGGTATAAACCGTTGGGAGAAGAAAGGGAGACTTCCATGAAATGAGGATGCTCGAGTTGACGATTCTTGGAGAGGTAATAAACAATTTGGACTTTCTTGATCTTCTGATGATACTTTGGTGATTTCTCTGTCCACACTTTTGCTCTCTCTGGACTCACTCCTTCTCTGTATTTCCTCATCCTCGCTTCCATTTTCAAGACCCAAAAAGAAAAAACCCTAATTGGGAAACTCCAACATTCTCTGTCTCATTTCCTCAATTTGAATCAGATCTATCAATTTGGAGGAAGAAAAGAGAAAAAGGCGAAAAAGACAAAGATTCCTTACAGTACTACTAGCTTAAGCCTTAAGGAGGAAGACCAATGAAGATTCGAGGATGAGAGCAGAGAGAGAGAGAGAGAGAGAGAGAGAGAGAGAGAGAGAGAGAGAGGTGAGATTGTGCAATGAAAGATTTTTTTAGTGAAGGTGTGGAGATTAATGGAGAGACAGCGAGACGACAGTAACAGTAAGGGGGAGAGAGAGAAAGGTTTAGCCTTTAGTGCTTTTCTACCTTATTTTCGGACAGCATTCTTTTGTTTTGTAATGAAACTCTGAAAATCACAGTGATTCTTATTCGGTCATGTTTTCTTCTTTTTTTGTCAGCATTCATTCATTCAAATCCAGTTCAACTCAATTTCTCGAATAGTTAAATTTCTCAAATCCAATTTTAGTGTTCTGTCAGAATTTACTTTAAATTTTGTTTTAAATTGTTTTTTATGTTGACTATTTTTTTAGTTTTTTTTATTTATGTTTTAAAATATTATACTTAAATTTATTTAAAACATATTTGCCTATTTTAATTAAGATACAAAATTAATTTTTAAATAAGTCATTTTAACTATGTAAGTTTAATCTCCAATTTTTTAAAAATTAGACCTAACAATTCTCGTATTTGTGCTGACTAAACCATTTTAGTCTCGTTAAAATACACTGTTAAATATAATTAACGACATTAAACGGTTGATTTTTGACAAAACTAAAATGATTTGGTAAATAAAAATATGAGATTTTCAGTCTAGTAAAACCGAACCAATTAAAATCTAACAAAATCAAAATAGAAAACGTTGTTTGGATTTTGTAATACGGAATAAACCAAATGAATGTTAATTTGAAAAAAACTGCGGTATATAGATATGGTTCGGTATATAACGCAAAGAAAAAAAAAGAACACGAATAATTAAAATATATTAGTATACTTATATGTAAATTTTATGATAAAATAAATAATATATACATAATTTATGAACTAATATGATCTTTATATTTAAAGCATTAATTTTGATTGTTTTTAATTGTATTTTAGTTAAAAATCTTATTTTATTTTTCACATTTTATGAAATTAAACTAAACATAATTTTTATTTTTATTTGTAAATAGTTGTGCTATAATAAATTAATTCAATAATATTATGATATTGTTATTTTTATTGTTTTTAGTTTTGATAGTTAAAAAAGAAGTATTTTATTTAAAAAAACAAGAGTACAATATATATATATATATATATATTATGTTTTAATAAATTTGTTTTCTAATTATATAAACTTAATTTCTTATTAAAAGTAAACATAGCTCTAGTTTTTGGTATAAAACAAATAAACTAAAAATCGATAGTATATAACCCATACAAACCAAAGTAGATATAATATTTATATGGTAACTAACTTTTATGAACCAAAATATCGATAAACTAAAAAAAAATCAGAAGCGAAAACGAACCAAAATTCAGATTAAACATCCTAGGATTGATTAGAAATTTAGGATTAAAATAGCATATCCGTAAATTATAGATTTTTTGGCTTACTTTTAAAAGTCAAAAATTATTTTGTCAATTTTCCCCTAGTTAAAATTAGTTTGTGCGCAATTACATCACAGAAAAAGACAATATAAAATAGAAAGAAGATAACTATTTTTCTAACATAAAGTATTATTTGCATGCTTACAACCTTACACTAAATAAGTATATATTAAATTCTAAAATATCACTATATATAGGTTTTAGGAGTGTCAAAGACTGATATTTCACGGGTTTAAACAAACTGATCTGTGAACAACCGCAGATCTAAAAGCACCGACCGCAATCTTCACTACGTTATTACTAAATTTCGTGGTCAGTGAAGAGAACTTCAAAATATTAATTTCTCTAATTATCAAAATATAATTTATTAAATTTTATTTTCTCTATATTCAAATAAAAATATAACAGATGTAAGTTAATGTTCAGAGAAAAAATTATTTTAATAAATTTTACATAAAATTTAAATAAACAAAACATCTTACTTTAAACCTCAACTAATATAGTTTATAATAAATACTGTGTATGTAGGTTAATTTAATGTCTGTACGAGTTATTTTTGAACACTGAATAATATTGATAGCTGAAGAGGTTTAAAACATTCAAATACTGGATCAGATCAAATCATACTTAACTAGAGAACCATCAAAAGATAATCTAAGGAATGTAATCAACAAAAATATGACGTAGCCAAAGAGGAAACTCCACAGGAACATACGATTGGTGAAACTGATCCTCATTGATCACACTTGCACGCTTGCAGCTATAAGACGAACACCTTTGTTTCCAATTTCCATGGTAAGATTGTCTGTGCGAGTTAAACTATAAAAACGTTTCCAGCAATGGATTAAACCTTTAAACCCCTTCTAAGTCATTTAAAATTAATTAGTCTTAACATATTTTATATTAGAACGGTTTATAAATTATAGTTGATCCCTGAACTTCTGAAATAAACTGATAGTATAAAGAATAAACCAACAAACCAGGAAAATTTTGTAGTTAACAGAAAAGCTGGCTTAAACCGACTACGAATTTATCAAAAGAACTTTAACTAAATTATATAATAAATTAAATAAAATGTAAATTAGATAAGCAAACAAATCTATTTTTCTTGTCAAACCAAACCGAAATAAATAACACAAAATATATCAAACTTAACAGTCTTGATTAAACTAACTGTGTGAAAAATGTGTTTAAGTAAATTAAAACACATATATAGTGCATTAAATTTATGTCAATTAAATTTTATTTAAAATTGAGACGAGATAAATCAAACCGAACAAGAAATGATATTGAACTAACGAAACTACATAGAAAAAAATACGGTGATAGTTGGGGAATTTTCTCTCCAAATACAGTCCGAATCGAGACTAACCTAAAAACAAATGGTAATGCATATACGATCTTTACATTCCTTACTTGGGAGTACTAGTAGTGAACATTCATCATGAGGATGCCGTATATTAGTGGGATAGGTAAAGCTATAAATGATAAGCCATGGTTTCAATATTTAATCAATGTAAATTCAACTAGAAAAACGACCACGTTCAAAGCAACAATATCCCTTCTGAATATGTAAACATCTACGATAAACTTCACTTTGCATCTTCTTTGAGGAACAATTTAAAATATACTATATGATTAGATTGGAGCATTAACTTGCAATTGTAGAAAAGTTTAAAGCTCTATGCTTTCTCTTTCTTTGTTGGAAAGCTGAAATGGAATAAAAACTCGTGCATGAAGATGACTCTTGTTAGATTTACGTGCATGCTTTTATTTCTTTATCATGAGCCTTAATATATAATACCGCAACGAAATCGAAAACAATTATGCATGTAATAATTGAAGTTGAACTCATAACCTTGATATCAAAACAGATGTAAACCCACCCAAAAAACAATCTATATTATAATGAGGGAGTTTACTCACTCCCAACGCGCCACGTCAGCTTTTTTTAATGATCTATGTACGGTTTTTTAACTACAAAACTAAATAATGCTGACTATTAACAATTGATGATCATTTGGCCCAGTGGTATAATCCGCTTAATTAAAGGTTCCTTCTGTAGGTATTGGGTTCGAATCCTCTTAACATCTTTTTTTGGTTCACCTGTTTAATTTAGTAATCGGGCTTTATTTATTTTTTGGCCCATTTAAGTTGGGTAAGTTGGCCCGTTTACAGATCATCTAAATCCTTCTCAAGTCGTTTCCCTTTCTGGCAAACGTCTTCCACAAAGTTGTACTCTTCGACTCCTCTCCTCATCTTTACTTTTGTAACTGTTTTGCCATCAATGACGCCTTTGGATCCATATATATATATATATGTGTGTGTTTGTAGATCGCGTCTCTGGTTTCCCCTTTTTATCCACCTTTTATTCTGATAAACCACGCAGCCGCCGTCGTAGGGATGTCTTCTTCAGATGTTCAGAACGCTAACGCCGCCGTCGAGTACTCCACCTTCGCCTCTCTTTAACTTGAAGGACGGTTCAGTCTGTTGTTGCTCACCTAATTTGGTTCTGGGATTCACACAACGTTAATAAGAACAGTGAGTTTATGGGAATTACGTTGTTACTCCTCGACGAACTGGTACGTGTTGTGTATAACATAGATTTGTTTTCTGACATTCATCAGTGAACTATTAAAGTTAGTTTTTTTTGTTACAGGATTCGGTTATTCACGCTTTCATCCCTGCGACTCGGGCGAATCATTACTGACCATCGTTGAAAGCTGGTTGTATTGTCAGGTTGGAGCGTTTTGAAGTTGCACGGGTTGCCCACATGTACAAGGTGAGGTCCACACAAACGCCCATGTTATCAAGTCTGACAGGTTCATGGTGAGGCGTTATGACCACCTCCACGTGCTAGCGAACACCAACCTAGAGCTACAAGGTTTGTNAAACGCCCATGTTATCAAGTCTGACAGGTTCATGGTGAGGCGTTATGACCACCTCCACGTGCTAGCGAACACCAACCTAGAGCTACAAGGTTTGTCTTTAGTCTTTTGTATATATAGATCTCCACTCGACACTGTCTTATTATGATTCTTTTGATTCTTTGTATCAAGATTCTATTTTTGAGACTTTTGTTTGTTTGTGTCAGATGTTGTTGGTGAAATCCGATCTGTCTAGGGGTTTGATCTGAGCAATGATTCTGCCACCACCAAAGTTGTGGTTCGCTTCTTGATTGAACTGTAAGCAACCTTTCACTCTCTCTGAATTATGGATTATGATCTGTGGCTGTTTTTTAATGCTTACTATAGGTTACCAGTTAAAAAGCACTTGATTTGAATCCACTGTAAAACCCTTTTTTGGATTGAATACAATTTACCATTCATTAAAAAAAAATTCACCTTTGGCATGCAATACTGTAACGAGGATCCGAAAGGTGAACTGTTATTGAGTTCCTAAAGAAGAAATTGTGTGTAGGTGCGCGTGTCGTTTTATTTTGTATGTTCGATCCCTT